CTAAAATTAAAGATATGTTAAATGTACCAAAATGTCTTTTAATCTAGTGACCTTAAATATGTCACGTGAAAAGTTAAAAATTTAAAAGTTGCTGAAAATGAAAAGAAAGTAGGTCAAACAAATAGAAACGAATTGAGTAAAAGGAAGTTTTTTCCCTTGTGGCTGCCAAGAGAAAGCCAATCATTACCAACATGATTGTGGCGGAGTGATAAGTACTCTTTCATCTTTAATCAGAGGTTTTGATTTCGGGTTCGAGTTTCCTTAGTACATAATCACCTTTGTTAGGAAGCGATCAATTTACCCCATTATGAAACTTTACTACACTAATCCAAATTTGATTAAGCTCCAATGCGAGTACCTTACGCCAAATGGGAAAAAAAAAAAGAAGCCAATCATTAGATCAAAGTTCATCTTTTCTCATTTCCCTAACATCCTGCCAAACGCATTGAGTAAATTTATAGGTCACCCAAGTATTAACTTCATATATATCACAAAATTTGTTTTCTCTTTGTTACGTAAAAATAATATTTTATTATATTCATATCAACTTGAAAATTATATTTCTTTTTGTTTCTTCATTACATAAAAAATCACTTTGACTTGAAAATGCACAATTGTTTTCACCCCTCTTTAGACGCTCTTACATGTTTTAATTTCTGGATGATTTAAATTTACAATCTTAAAATTGAAAGTAGACGATGTTTTTATTATCCTAATATTTTTAGCAAAAGACATAAAATGTTGCACAGAGTGGGGAAAATTAATCTAGTTTCTCTTTTATTTGGGATTTTGCATGGTTGTTGACTTGTTCCCAGCTGGATACAAAAAGGAAGAATAATGGGCTAAAAATAGACCCCGTTCAAATAAGTCTCTTTTTCTGACTAGAAAAGGTTTTAATATTTATTATATAGAGTATATAAAAAAAAACCGAAGGTACTTAAAAATCAATCATATTAACATTTCAATCGATAGGTGATAACTTCGGCGAGTTGGGACGTAGAAGTGAAATTCCTAAACTTGAAATCCTATCCTTCTTTACTATTCACTATCTAAGGAGCAAATTTGAAGTCGATTCTCAAGGCTCGTAAGCTCGGGGATTGAATACCCCTATATTTCAAGTGACTAGTTTGGTTGGTGATGCGTGCACTCACTTGCACGCTTCCTTATAAGCACGAAATTCTTAGTTCGTCCGCTATCACACGGGCCAGTGTACTCTAATCGCTAACCTGAGAGAGGCTATACTCTAAAAGAAGGAAGTACAGTGAATTACATACACTTTTACAACATTAAATTAGATTAATTTACGAATTATGATTCAACTTTTTTTATCACGACATTAAAGTCCTTAAACTATGTTTTGTAATAGAAATATCACTCAATTTGGGATAAGTATTACAGAAATCAATAAAAAAATTCTATAACAAAAAAATCATTCAACTTTGTCTTAATATCACATGAACTCGCTAAACAATGTTTGTTTCGTAACGAAAAATTCATTCAAACTTTATCTAATTATCAGATAAAATGTCTTTTTTATTGTTTGGTACTGACTTTCTTTGATATTTAGACATAATGAAATGACTTTTTTATTTATTTCAAAATATAGTGTAGTAACTTTAGTAATACTTACATAAATGATTTTTTGTTGCAATAATAATTAAGTAATATTAGGGCAGTAAAATCAAAAGTGGGTGACATCCATCCATGATATTAACGCCACTAATTATATAGATAGAGCGTATAGCGAATTCCCAACCTGGGATGAATGATATCCGGGAAAAACTCAATTACTAGAAGAAGACGCAAAGGTTTCGCTGTGTCACTTAAGTTATATAGGAGATCCTGAGCCCAAGAGTTAAGAATAACAAGTTTTTCCTTACGCATTATATTATCGATATTAAATTTAAAAATCAAAATATAAATATCGATCCAATAAATCACCTAACTATATATCGTTCTTTTCTCAAAGAATAACAAGATAACTCTTCTCGATTGTTGAAATGGTCCAATCTTGGTACTCCAACATTGTGTAGAAAAAGATGGTGTCCAAGCTTAGCATATATTCTTGGTAATAAAAAGTTTATGAGTTTTTTGAAAATAAATAAATTTAAAATGAAAAAAGAAAAGTGAAAACAAGTTTTTGGGTGTTTTCCAAATCCCAAATACAACTTCATAACTAATAAAGTGAAATATTTTTTCTTCCGTGGACAGAGTTACCTGATATTTGTTACTGGTGAAAAGTGACAGATATCTCATAAAATAAATTAAAATGCGCAAAGCTGATCCGAACACCACGATTAAAAAAAAGTTAAATGATTTTCTGGCCAACTAACTTTCAAAAGACAATTGGTAGAGTGCTTTGAATATTCCTACGAATTTGTTGTATTGTAGTAACAATCAATTAAATTGAACCTCCGGTTGGTGTGAGGTCACCTTTTGTACAAAGGCGGAGTTAGAATTTAATTTTTATAAGTTCAGATAAATTTTAGAATAACAACTTCAATTATTCTTGGTTGAGTTCTAAATTTAATATTTGTAGTAGTATTTAATGACTTTCTTAACCTAAATACATTATTTAAACAAAAATTATTGAATTCAACGAGCTTGTATATGATCACTTCTAGCTCTACCCTTACCTTAGTGGTCGACAGAGGCGGAGCTAGGTGGGGGTTCATGGGTTCGGACGAACCAGTAGCTTTTCCGTATACCCTATATTTGTACTAGAAAATTAATTAAATATATGTATATTTAATTTGTGAACCCCTAAAAAAATTAATTGATGGTTCTAAAAAAAAAAAATTAGAACCCCAAACTCTTAATCTTGGCTCCACCTCTGATGGTCGAATATATTATATTAACCCAATATAATAACGAATTAGAGGCGGGGGGGGGGGGAAGGATAATATCATGATAAAAATATCTTAGATTTTATTTATTCTACTAGAAAATAAAAATAAACATGAACACTTTTTTTTTATTCCTAAAATAATAAAATCTATCTTGAGTTGATGCATATGGAATCTTCCAATGAGTTCAAATTAACAAAAGAATGGTAGACATCATACAGCTGTGGAAGTGGAAGGTGGCCAAACATCTAATTCTACACACATCATCCCCAAAGGAAAAATACTAAACAAACTAATACAATTATCGTTATATTATTATATTTAGTGATAATGATAAATATATGTATTTATAATCAAATATTCTATATAAATATTGTTAGAGACTTTAGTAACTTTGAATATAATGACATTAATTTAATTGTCATTAATTTTTTTTATTTTCTTTTAACCAATTGTCATCAAATATTCTTATGACGATAAATATTATCATCAAAAAAAATATATATTATTACTAAATGTCTCTTTTGTCGTAGCAGGATACTTTCAACATCGTAGAAATATTAGCTGTCAAATGGTACCTTTTCTTTGTTACTCCAAATCCAAGTCAACTTAATTAATATCTACCTAATTCTCAAGTCTGCATTTTTTTCCTAACTACATCAACCCTCCAAACCTTTTTTTTTCTTTTTAATATACACAAGGATACAAGTTAATTCGTTCGTATTATATTCCCTTTATTTTAATTTTCTGTCTTAATTTGATTTAGTAGAGAGGAGATTTTTGAATTTTATGGTTTTATATGTAATTATGTATCAAATGTCCTTTGAATCTCGTGACATAGGATGTTAAGCGTAAATATAGAAAGTGACATTCTTTTTTAAAGAATAAAAAATAAGATAAATAAAAACAAAAAAGTAATTTAATTATGTCATCACGAAAAAGATTCCCTATAGTTGGAGAAGAAAATAATCAAATAGAGGATTGAGTTAGAGATGTCCTAAATGTTAGAGTCTCGTTAAAGTTAATTGTAATTGTTTTTTTTTATTTCCCATCCGAAGTTTGATATCCGTAATGTTGTATATATACTCCCCGTCCACTTTTAATTGTTATATTGCTCTTTTCGAAAGTCAATTTAACTAATTCTCAAAGTGAAATTAGATTACATTAATTCGATATTTTAAACAAAAAATATATGAAAAGTACTATAAATTACAATTTTTCGCATATTAATATGATAAAAAAATATATCGTAAAATGTTAGTCAAAATTCTTATCATTTGACTCTAACAAAAAAACCATGACAATTAAAATTGAACGGAGAGAATATCATAATGATTATTAAAGATAATGATGACACGCGATCCAATTAATCAACTTGATTTTTGGTTGTTGTTTTTTTCACTTATGCATGCATGTAGATAAGTTATGAATACGTTGGCACTAGATTCCAAGATTTCAACTTTAATCCTTGAATTATTACTAATAGCTTCAATTAATTAAACATTATAATTCGTTGTGGAAATAATAAATTATGAACATTCATGTTGCTAGCTCGTAAAGGTCTTTCGTGGAATGCTTATCATCATCATAACATATATAGAGAGAAATTGGGAATATAATAATTGGGATGAGAAATAATAAAATATGATTTGTTAAGTACTCCTAGTTGTTTCAATTTGTTTATCTGAATTTATTTTTTGTTTCATTTAAAAAATATATAATTTTATTTTCTTGATAATTTTTTTATTTCAATTTTATGAGTCTTTTTTCACCTCTTAAATTATGCGTTCCACCAAATAGTGCCAAATAAATTGAAATGGAAAAAATATTTGATTACTCTTTCTTAAAGTTATCCTATCAAGTATCATATATGCTTGCTATAAGGAGTTAAATACATGTACAAAAAAAAATACTAAAGAGAAACATAGTAATGTATGGTTTCTTAATGAAACACTACTTAGGCTACTAGAAAACAAGAAATTAACAATGTACAAAATTTTGTAGCTTGCTAAATAATAATGTCATGCTAATTTCATATAGTTATGAATTCGTAATGGATTATCGATAAATTTGTAGCTAATTTTATTTTTCTAGTAGTGTTATAGTATTGATCTCTAGTTGTAGGGGCCAAAATGAGACATATACAAAAGAAAACTCACCAACCCCCACACAAACTAGTCCCCACACCTCATATACATCTCAAGGTCCTCCATCTATAATTCTATATAAAGTCTAATTGTGTTCATGCAATATTCAAAAACACATACACCATGAAGATTACTTTCTTATTTTTCTTGATTCTGAGTTTCTTGTTCTTGGTGGTGGCTTTGGCTGGAAATTTCAACCAAGATTTTGATATTACATGGGGTGATGGCCGCGCTAAAATACTCGAAAATGGACAACTTATGACCCTTTCCCTCGATAAAGCCTCTGGCTCTGGTTTTCGATCCAAAAATCAGTATTTGTTTGGAAAGATCGATTTGAAAATCAAACTTGTGCCTGGTAACTCTGCTGGTACTGTTACAACATATTATGTAAGTTATTTTTTTTCATCGTTACTACATGTTATATTATGATTTTGTGAGTATATACATCGTTACCCTCAGGTCATTAATTCTGTGGACCAAAAAATATGTTTTGGTATGCCTTCTAAAATATGAGACTCGTAATCTTGAACAGCAATAACCTGATAATATGAAATTCTTTATATGAATGGTGTATATAGCTAAGTTTTATATTAATTGAATGGTGATGATTTGATTAGATGTTAATATACTTTATAAGTTGATTTTTAATTGGTATGGATTACAAAATGCAGCTATCTTCAATAGGATCAAGTCATGATGAGATTGACTTTGAGTTTCTTGGGAATTTGAGTGGTGACCCATATATTCTTCATACAAATGTATTCACACAAGGAAAAGGAGATAGAGAGCAACAATTTTATCTTTGGTTTGACCCCACTAAGGACTTTCATACATATTCTATTCTTTGGAATCCTCAAAGCATCATGTAAGTAGTTCTTATCCTTTGTTTCAGATATTATTTGATTTAATATAAAGTTAAAGAAAAGTAATTTTTTTTATCTAAATAAATTTAAATATTAATGTGACTATAAATCATCTCATTAAGGATTAAAAATAATTTTAAAGTCAAGTTATTTCTAATTATAGAAATATAACATATTTTTAACGAACTAAAATGAAAAATATGTCATACAAACTGAAGCAAAACAATTATTATATTTCACTTACGTGCATTTTATTAACTTCTATTTTGGACATTTACTTAGTATTGATATTTTCTTACCTACCTTTCTAATACTGATAAACTTCATTATTAGTTAGTGTAGTACTAATAGTATTGGAAGGTTTCACGTAATCTATAGTGGTGATTAATTAGTTTTATTTTTCCACCTAAGATTTACCTTTCTTGATTATTCAAAAACAACTCTACTGTAACTAATTTTGATTAAACTTTTTGGATTTAGTGCTTATTCACAATAAGTTAAATCAAATTTTGAAATTTAAGGGATTGCTGGATATACTACTATCAATTAATGGAGAAAGAAAAATAGAGTAAAAAATTAAAGCAATAAAGCAAAATGATTGAGAAATGAGAGAATATAGAGTTAATATCTCAGATGGTCACTCAACTGTCTACTTTTCTCTCAGAAAGTCACTCAACTTTGTATTTTAACTCAAAAGTCACTCAACTATCCACTATTCTCTTAGAAAGTCACTCAGCTTTGAATTTTAACTCAAAAGTCACTCAACTATCAATTGTTCTCTCAGAAAGTCATTCAACCTATTTAATTGATATTTTAATTAAAATTTGTTGATATATATTTTTTTATTTAAAATCCAAAATTTTAAAAATAATAAAAAATACTAGTTAAACCATTTAGTGACCCGTCTCACTTGATCACCCAACCCGTTAAAAAAATAATATTGACCCATTTTATTTTACCCATTCTCCTACCTTATTCCCTCTCTTCTTAGACTCTTTCTCCTTTTCTCCTTTGCGTTTTTTCTTCTTCTGGTTCTCCATTGCTACCTCTTCTTCCTCTTTTATCTATAAAGTTTGATAAAAATCCTACAAATGTTATATACAAAATTATAATGTAATAATTAGTTCCTATAGGTTTTAATTATGACCCATTTCTCCTTTAATTCTTCAATTTCAAGTTCTATATTACGTAGGAAACTAAAGAAATCTGATTTAAAAAAGTCAGATTAAAAGAATCTGATATCAGATTTTTATTTGTGCTTTGGCCATGTTCAACTCTTAACTTGTAATAATTTGCTTTTTGGTTGGAAGAATCATATGAACCAGAATCTCCATAGAGCCTTAAGTAATTAAACTTGCTTTTGCATGTCTCTCTTCAGACCACATTCACCTCTTTTTAGTGTTGTGAGAATTATTTGCTGAGGAAGATGTAATCAAAGGGACTCCTTAGTTTCCGAACAAATATTCGTAAGTCGAAACAATACTCAAAAATACAAATCAAAATAAATTTGTGCAAGTCCGAACCCATGCATTAAATTCCTTTAATTTCATATACTAGAAATTGAGATACCTAATTAAAACTCAACTAAAAGAAGAAGAAAAGGCAGCAATGGAGAACCATCAAAAAAAAAAAAAAGAGGAGAAAGAGTCAGAGAAGAGAGTGGAATAAGGTAGGAGAATGGGTAAAATAAAATGGATCAATATTATATTTTTAATGGGTCGAGTCAAGTGAGGCAGATCACTAAATGTTTTAAATGATTTTTTTTAAAAATAAATAAATTGGATTTTAAATTTAAAAAAATTATATTAGGAAATTTTAATTAAAATATCAATTAAATAGATTGAGTGACTTTCTGAGAAAACAATTGGTAGTTGAGTGACTTTTTGAGTTAAAAATTTCAAAAGTTGAGTGATTTTCTGAGAGAAGAATGGATAGTTGAGTGACTTTCTGAGAAAACAATTGGTAGTTGAGTGACTTTCTGAGAAAACAATTGATAGTTGAGTGACTTTTGAGTTAAAATTCAAAGTTGAGTGATTTTCTGAGAGAAGAATGGATAGTTGAGTGACTTTCTGAGAGAAAAGTAGATAGTTGAGTGACCATCTGAGATATTAACTTGAGAATATACTGTGTAATTATACCCCCGTGTTTTCAAAGGCATTTTCGAGGGGAGAGTATAAAAAAAAGTTTCTACACAAAAATGAAAGGTGTAGATCCATAGAGCGTATATCTTAAAATTTGGAACGTAAAACCTACCATTTGTACGTCAATTTTTTTTTTATTGTTTTAAAAGTTTTTGCTATAAAATTAAAAATACATCAGATATAGGCTTATATATTTATGGGACTTACGCCTCATATTTTGATTCTTATGCCACTCTCAGTGCTGCGTAAAACACCTCCCCGCCTCGTCGTTTGAAACACTGGTTATAAGTACTTTTCTGCATAAAATACCTCCATCGCTCCGCCTTTTGAAACACTGGTTATAATAAGTACTTTTTTGCATAAAATAACTCCCCCATCTTTTGAAATACTGATTATAAATACTTTTCTACATAAAACACCTTCCCCGCCCCGCTTTTTGAAACACTGGTTATAATAAGTTGCCTTTTGAAATACTGGTTATAATAAGTACCTTTTTGTATAAAATACCTCCCCACCACTATATTTTGAAACACTAATTGTAAGTACTATTCTACGTAAAACATCCCCTTCTCCCCCGTCTTTTCAAATACTGATTATAAGTACTTTTCTCGAACTTAATTAATTTGTCCTTACATGTTGATTACTAATTAATTACTAATCTTTTCCCCCATTTTATTAAACAAAAAAAATCAGATTTTCAGTAGATGGGACACCAATTAGGCAATTCAAGAATATGGAATCAAGTGGTATCCCCTATCCAAAGTCACAACCAATGTGGATATACTCAAGTTTATGGAATGCAGATGATTGGGCTACAAGAGGTGGACTTGTCAAAACTGATTGGACTAAAGCCCCATTTATTGCTTCATATACAAATTTCAATGCACAAGCTTGTGTATGGTCTTCAACTTCAACTGCTTCTTCTTGCAATTCCACTACACAAAATTCTTGGCTAAGTGAAAACTTGGACATAACAGGCCAATCAAGGATTAAATGGGTGCAAAATAATTACATGATTTATAATTATTGTAATGATATTAAACGTTTTCCTCAAGGGTTTCCTCGTGAGTGTTCTCTCAATTAGTGCAAGTAAATTAAGTTAATTATTGCATTGTAATTAAAATATGTAGTACTTTGTAATATTCCTCCTTAGGATTAGTAGAATTGTTTGTTTTGATTTGAGGAATAAGATGGAGAAATTCCATTTGTACCTGTTGTAACTATTTGTTAATTTTTATATTATAAGGGGTCGTTTGGTTACTAGATAAGGGTTGAGTTATTCAGGTATAAAATGTTGCATAAGTTTTACCATGTTTAATAGCATTTTTATGTCAAGGTATAAAATTCAACACACATAATACTATGTTTGGTTAGAAAATTTGAAAACCACATAACCAATATATGTATAAGTTATAAGTCAATCTATGCATTATTTTATGCGGGGTAGAAGATGAAATAAGTTATATCTGAAAAAATAATACATGAATAAAAATATAAATTGACAACTTTACCCTTCACTCTCAATCAAATATAAGGACCTAAAATGTCCCTCTACTATTTGAATTGGTAAAAAACTACCCTCCATCCACCTTTGGGTCCCAAAAGCCCTTGTCGTTAATCTTTTGACTCAAAAATATTCTTATGTCTAACAGATCATACTCAGTAGGTGGATGGAGGGAAATATTGTACTAAATCTAATAGTTTAAGGGCATTTTAGGCCCTTTTTCCGTTAAAATAATTAGAAATTACTTAATATGTACGCGCACATGATTGACTTGATTTTGAATTTCATAGTAAACTTATTTTTAAAAAAAAATGTTAGGCATCTACTCTCTACACTCCCCCCAACCCGGCCCTTCATTTCCTATCTCTTCCATTTTTCTTTCTATTTGGGTGTTGTCAACCAATTTTAATTATTTTTTTCAATTTATGACAAACAAGAGAGAAGAAAGGATGAAAATAATGATGCATTTATATAGAAATAATTAGTTCAATAAAAGATGACCGAATTAAGCAAATATATATGTACGAATATTACATGTTTCTTTTTTATGTACCCAAAATTCAAAATAAAAGAATAAAAATAATCATTTCTCTTATCACCACCCTCATTCCACCATAATAATAATAATAATAATAATACAAATTAAAAGAATATAGACATGTGAGTTCATTTCAAATTTGAGTCTCGGATACCCTAATTAAGAATAAGAGATTAAAAAGTGAATAAAAGGGAATAAAAGAGAAAATGAACAAGACATTTGGATAATTATATAAAATTTTATATTAATGAAAATAATAATCTTTTAGATGGACAATTAGTCGGGGTAAGTATGTATTTTAGTTGGATCCTCATTTATGAGTTAGGTTACGTTATAATAAATTGGATGTTGATTTAAAATAGGCCAATAGGAAGATATCATGAAACAATTATATTTTCAAGTGTATCAGGTCAAAATATAAATCATAAGTGGTTTTATAAAAAAATAAAATTTTAAAAATATCGTTTTTATTATTTATTTGAGAAGGGTTTAAATTTGGACCAATTACATTAAGCAATATAATAAATAAATATCTAATAATTTTACTTTAAGGGAGATATTAAAAATAAGGGAAAATATGAGCCAAAGGATTAACATCGAGGGTATTTTTGAGCCAAAAGGTGGACTTCAGGGGTATTTTATGACCGAAAGGTGGATGGAGGATAATTTTGTACCAATTCAAATATTAGAGGGGCATTTTAGACCCTTCTCCGCCACTTCTTTTTAGATAAACATCCAGATCATCTCTCCATATTTGTAGATCTAAAATGACTCTTCATCTTCCTAGAGGCAAATAGATTGAAAAAAACATTCAATTTTGCGTTCTTTCTTTGAAGTTAGAAGTTTTGAAACTCTAGACTTGGCTTATCTTTTTTTTATTTTCTTCTTCTTTTCCTCCTCTTATTTTCTCCTCTTGTTAATCTGGCGAGAGACAAATGAAATTTTAGATCTTCGCAATATTTTCTAGTGAAGTTGATGTTTGAGTACACTCATTTTTTATGAGGGTTTTGTTTTGTTTGTTCAAAAATCGTGCTTTTTGAAAAGGAGGTTCATTAAAATTAGTTTATTTAGCTTTTAAAACTGCAAGAAATGAATATGAATTTGAAGCGTGATAAAATAGTATTAGTATTCTAGTTATTGAAGTCAAACAAAAATAGGACATCTTACCATATTTTTCAATATTATTTTTTGTTTTTTTATAAAATTGAATATTCTAGTACGAAACCATCTACCACCTTCCTACTATACATATTTAACGTGTCTGCAATAAATAGTTAAGTAACATGGATGAAAATTCTTTTTTCTATGATTCAATTTGATAATGATGTTGCCATTTTTAAATGGAAAATAGGTGTCTATGGATCCTCAACAATTGTGCGATGTCGAATGTTTATCATTCTTGAGGAGATTGTAGTGCATTCCTATATTATTCTTATTTGATTTTTATGGCTATTTACAATATGTTATTAAGAAAACAAATGGGTCATTCAATATTGTATGAGTGCTAGAATTCCTAAAATCTTGTCTCATCTAAATGTTATTATTCGTGACAATGATATTATATGTATTGACAGAAATGTCTTTCACATTTTAGCCTCCTTAGCCAAGAATATTATAGGGTTGATTGACAGTAAAAATATGTTGAGTACTGAAAAGTTATCAATGTTCTTAAATATTTTGGCTCATCAGGAGAAGAATAGATTTGTCAAAGTTGATTATATTAGATCGGGGTGGAGTGTAAGTCGAACATTTAATGAATGTCTAAGAGCTATTCTTAAACTAACTCCAGTGTTACTTGTTAAACCTAATTCGGTGCTCGAAGATGATACTGATGATCGATGAAAATGGTTTAAAATAGGTAAATTTCAATCTAACATTTGCCACAAACAGACTTGAAATATCATGATGAGATTGTTTTTATTTTTAATTGTCCTTTAGCATTTAGAGTTGAATCTATCTTAGAGGGTTATCATGGTGCACTAGATGGTACTTACATTTTCATTAGAGTTGAAGCAATATATAAGTGAAGATACAGAACACGAAATGGAGATACAATAACTAATGTCTTGGGAGTTTGTGATAGAAATCCCAACTTCATTTATGTATTACCTGATTGGGAGGGATCAGTCGCTGATGATCGCGAATTGCGAAATGTTATTGTACGAAGAAATGGGTTGAAAGTACCCCAAGATATGTTAAATACACAAACACTTGTCTATTTATATTATATGAAAAATAGTACTCTCTCTGTCCCAAATTATGTGACTTACTTTCCTTTTTAGTCAGTCCCAAAAAGAATGACACATTTCTATATTATGTAACAATTTGACTATAAACTGTCTATTTTACCCTTAATGAAATGATTTTACAGCCACATAAATTTCTATCATTCATTTTGGACCACAAGTTTTAAAAGTCTACCTTTCTTTCTTAAACTTCGTGCCGAGTCAAACTACCTCACATAAAATGGGACGGGAGGAGTAATATTTTAAGATAATTATATTATTATTTACATTCTTAGGCAATTACTATCTATCCGACGGAGGATATATAAATGGAAATGGTTTTCTGTCTCCCTACCGAGGATATAGATATGGCTAAAGAATTGACAGGGTGGCAATCCATCACCTCGATGTTGAGAAGAGCTCTTTAATATGAGCATGCTAGGACGCGTAATGTTATTAAAAGATAATTTGATCTATTAAAAGGACGTTGGAGAATTCTTAGAAGTCCTACATGGTACTCGGTTAAGATTCATAATAAAATTATTAGTGCATGTTGTTTGATACACAATTTCATCCGAAGAGAGATGGAAGTTGATATGAATATGAAATTCCATATGGAGAATCAACATGGACATGAAAGTATTAACACAGTTGAAGCATCTATTGAGTGGATCACCTGGGGGATGAACTAACTCAGTCTATGCAGAATGAAAGATTTGAAAATCAATCTTTATAATTTTAAACTATGTGGTTACTCTTGTTATACTCATGCATTTTTGCTTTTTATTTTTCATTCACTGTAAAATGTAATAGCTTCAATAATTTTATGAAAACGAATGGTCAATCTTTTTTATATGTCTCACATTGTTATTTGTAGAAACAAATAGTGAATCTCAAGGTATATCTATATATTTTTTTAACATAAGTAGTGAATTTTGTATGTCTTCACAATATTATTTTTTTCAGAACAGTCTAGTTTTGTTACAATTTTTTTTGGCTATAATTAAAATAATTTACTAGTAAGTTGTAAGTTAATATTACTTATTTTCATTTATAATTTTACAAATTGAAATGGCTAGTTCCACGGCTGCAATATCTAACGAGTCCAAAAAGAGAGCAAGAAAATTAGCACCTTCGTCTCGACGGGTATGGACTCCAGAAAAGGAACTCACTCTTGTACATGGATTAAAAGAGTGTTAATGATTGGAGAGGAGATACTGAAATCTTTAGACATGGATATATAATAAAATTGAAACACTACATAAATGCTCATCATCTTAATTGTGGATTGAAATCTCTACCACATGTTGATTTCAAAATAAGATCATGAAAAAAGAGTTATGCAGCCATAACGTTACTAAAGAGTCGAAGTGGTTTAAGATACCAATATAGTGATAGAAGGATTTTTGTTGATGTACTAAAAGCTTGGAATGACTTGATAAAGGTGATTTATATTTATTTTAAATCATTAGTGAATTTTCTAGGTGAATATGATCTTTGTCTTTGGAATATTGTCAGTTACTTAATCTACTTGTTTCTTAGGTTGATCCAAATGTCAAGTCAATGAGCTTAAAAAAAATTATCATTGTTTGCTGATTGGGAAGAGATATTTTGCAAGGATAGAGCTACTAGGCAATTTACCGATTGGTTAGAAGATGTTGTTAAAGAAATAGAAAGAATAGAAGCTCAAGAAATTGCTAATGACACATCTGTGAAATTTCTATTGTTATTGTCAACGTAGATGATGCTTCAGGCACAAGAGACGATCAAGTTGCTCAAGAAAAGCCTAATGTATCAACTGGAGAAATACAAAATTCATTTACTATTCAAGATGAACCTAATGTATCAAGCACAAAATTCATTCACAACTCAAAAAGGTGAAATCCATCAATCTCAAAAACAAGGTAATAATTTTAAAGCATCGTCTTCTAAGTCAACGAAAAAGGCAGATGCAAAAAAAAGAAAAAATAATGAAGGATGAGAATGAGACTGTTCTTAAAGGCTTAATGGAGGTGATGAAACAATTTACTGAAAGTCATGATAAGATGAAA